TTACTATTGTTACCAGTATATGTGTTAATATTTTTTTGTTCTCGCTTTGTTTTTCTTTTGTAAATGATATACCCTGACAATACACTGTATTCAAAATGTTTATGAATAATATATATGTCTGTTTAGTGAACAAAGCACTGAAAAAAGTATGTTCTGTTTTTTCACACTTATGACCATTGAAGCATCCACACCGCCACCTGATTTACATTCGGCTAACATTTGGCTAACAGACTCACCTTTATGACGATGTCCAGGGGTCGCGGGATCCTCTTTTTGCGACCGTCGATAGGGAAACCAGATTCCCTTAACAGCCATGTGACTCACTTAACAACTGCAGTGAGTCACTATGGTCATAAAGGTCGTAAAACAGGGCAAAACTCACTGAAAGGATGTCTCATTTAGCAACAGAAATGTTGGACTCCATGGTGGTTGTAAGTCGGGGACTGTCTGTTTTTTTTTTTCTAATTTTTTTATCATTTTAATTTCTAACTTCTCATTCCGGCAATCGCTACATCAGTGCTACCTTAACCAGAAGTCTGTGTGAATTATTTATTGATGCTGTAGAGCCAATGCATTAAAAAAAAAAATCTTTGTTAGTTTTGATAAAGAGTTATTTAACATGCATGGCTGCATCAGTCTGTTATTAACAGGGTGAAAAAGACCTCGGAAATTCCTGAGGCTACACATTGCGTAGCTGTTTTATATATGTGGTAGAGAGAGAGAGAGTTAGTGAGGAATAGAATATAATATAATAAGAGAAAGAATGGAATGGAGTGGAGTGGAGTGGAGCGGAGTAGAGCGGAGCGGAGCAGAGTGAGGAGAGGAGAGGAGGGGACGGGAGGGGAGGGGAGGGGAGGGAAGGGAAGGGAAGGGTAGGGTAGGGTAGGGTAGGGTAGGGTAGGGTAGGGTAGGGTAGGGTAGGGTAGGATAGGATAGGTATGGAATTTGGAGTAGAGTATAGAGTAGAGTAGAGTAGAGTAGAGTAGAGTAGAATAGAATAGAATAGAATAGAATAGAATAGAATAGAATAGAATA